CCAGTTTATGTTTCTTTCGATTGTGGAGAACGCACAGGTAATGATACTATTCTACGAGAAGTATCGCAAAAATGGGATCATTATGCATCTGGTATTTTTGATGTACCTGGTTGTCCAGAATATAGAAATCTGAATCATGCACCTGTTGTTGTTGGTTATGGTACTGAAAATGGTACTGATTATTGGAAAGTTAAAAATTCATGGGGAGAAGATTGGGGTGAAAATGGTTATGTCAAAGTTAGACGAAATAAGAACATGTGTGGAATTGCTACTGCAAGTTATTCTGCTGGAATATTTTAAATTTTTGTTTTCCATCAATAAATTGAAATTAATTAGAGAAAAAATTTAATTGAATAAATTTATTTTCTTAGTTATACGAAGACGCTCATATGTATTGACGACAGATATCTATTCATAAATACAAAATTAAACTGATTACTGGCAGAGAGTTGCATGCCCTTCTTGATTCAGAGCCAAACTTTTAGTTTTTGTCGGATCTGGAACCATGTCCCAGATTTAATTTAAGACCCAGTTTTCATTCAATTTCGAGTTTGAATACAGAAGATTCAAAGTCACTCTAGTAAAGATTTGTGGCTTCTTACAAACTTGAGTTAGAGCCTGTTAGCGTTCGTCCTCGTAAAGAGCGACGAACATTAAGTGTCCGAAATGTGCATGTTTTGTTATCTCATTTATTTTACAAAAACAAGTGCATTTATATTCGAACATGGAAAACAAAGGAAAACAAGTGTCAATGAAGGTCAAAGAAAAGAAGAAATCGAAGCGAAATGATAACACAGAATATATCAGACGAACAAAGAAAAAATTAAAGAAAGAAAAGAGAGGGTGTGGGTGTAGATGCGGATGCGGGTGGGTGGTGTGGGTGTAGGTGTGGGGTGGGGTGTGGGTGTGGATGCGGATGCGGGTGAGTGGTGTGGGTGTAGGTGTGGGTGGGGTGTGGGTGTGCGTGTGCGTGTGGGGGGGGGTGGGGGGGGGGGTGGGGGGGGTGGGGGTGGGGGTGCGTGTGGATGGGGGCGGGGGGNCATTGAGTTTCTGGGCAATGTATTTCTTCATTCTTTGACCAATTAAGAGACGCAGCATGAAAGAAAAATTGACCAAGCTAAATTGAACATATTTATGACGGACGTAGGAAAATATTATGAGAAATAGCAGAAAATGAATTCCAAAAGAGATACGATTATAGATTCCTCCTCTGAATTTGCTATTGTAACAGCTTGCGTCCAAAATTTATTAACAACCCTTCGAAACATTAAATCATAGCTAGTGACTTATGAGCTCCACAAAATATTAAACATAAATTTTGAAAATGAACAAGATTCTGATTTTAACTCGCTCTTCTCATATTCTTGCTGAATCTCTTTATAAGCCGAGAATGACAGAAACAATTTATTCAGAGACTCATGGTTCATTTGTCATTAAAGTAGTTTTGGTTTTTGTTTTTTTTAAATATTTATGTTATTTGTTACTTTAATCAATCTTAAAATATATCTTCCACTTTTATAAAATATCAATAAAAAACCTATATTCAACGATTAGATGTGTATAGAACGACCTCATAAGAAGTTAAATCGACCCACTAGTATTTTTCTGGTTAACTTCATTGAATCATATGTCAACGAAAAGAGCATTTTGAGACTAACATTTTGGTGTTAGTTTTATGAGTTTTTGATCAAATTTTGATATCTAACAAATATTAACAAAGTAACATATTTTTTATCCTTATTCTAATAATATATCCTACTACACGATGGATCCAATTTAAGAATAAACAGAAAAGACAAATTACTATTCAAATTATGAGTTTGATAGCTCTTTGAAGAGGTTTTAATTTCATACATAAATTACTAATTGATTGTTTAATTTAGCGAGATATGCGTCTTATATGCTCATAGACACTAGACGTAATTTTGTGTCTTTTTTTATCAATATTTAGAAGATTTCAACAAGAAAAAGTTTTATTTGAACGTAAACTAATATGGTATTTAGAATCAGCACAAGAAAATGAGTTATACTTTGCGATATTTAAAGAATAGCTGTAACCTTTTTTTCATCAAAAGTTGATCCCTGATTTTCTTCAGAGACCAGAGAAAAAATAAACGCTTTGGAAATTCTACTTTTATATTCCAGATATCTATCATCTTTCCGTCTAATAAGTTTAAACAAATTTTGAGATTTCTTTATGATATTCAAAAAGTGTTTTTATACAAGTTATTTTTTGTTTGATTCCTGCTGACGACTAGAGGTAAATTTTTGACAAAATAACAAATTCTAGAAATGATTTAACTCGCACAAACAGTAACTCCGTTTTTTATGCTGATTCTAAATATCATACTAACCTGCGTGTAAAAAGTCTTTGCACAAAATGTTCGTTCACTTTTTGACCACTTGAAAACAACTAGTGAAGGCCAAAAGTAGTTAGTTGGAATCAGAATTTTGTGCTCTATCAGAATATATACTTGAAAATTTTTTCTAACCTAAGGCTGATTCACTGTGAGCAAATGCTTGAAGGGACCGAAATAATTATCTGTACAAAGCAAAATACGTGTTTTTTTGGAATCCGCTACTTTTCCAGATTATATTTAAGCGCAGTTTTAATTAGGCGTTTTTGTAGAGCATTCAATTCTGTACAAAACTGGGTAATATAATAGAGTAGAACTAAAAACTATCAAAAGTTACAGATGTTTTCCTAAGTGCTACTTTCCATGCAAAACAGTTTTTGTCCAAAACTCGATTTTTGGAAATCCGCCTGTTTGAATGTAGCCGATTTCGAGCCAATTTGGCGATCTATAAAAAGATGAGTAGATATGCATTTTGTAGAGAACATTTTTCTCTACAAACTGCCATATGAATAGACGTTTTATTTGGTCAATTAACTAAGCTTTAACCAAAATACAAAATTGGCAGAAATAGAATTCTGTATACAAAGTACATTTTCGGCTAATTCAAGTATTTGCTCAGAGTGAATCAGCCTTAGGTTAGAAAAAATTTCCAAGTATATATTCTGAGAGAGCACAAAATTCTGATTCCAGCTAACTACTTTTGATCTTCACTAGTTGTTCTCAAGCGGTCAAAAAGTGAACGAACATTTTGTGCAAAGATTTTTTACACGCAGGTTAGTTTTCCATCAAGTTAGACTTTTTCAAATCGAAGTTTTCTAAATATTGATTGATAATTGGTAAAAAAAATGATTCTTTTTCGATCTGATGACAAAGAACGATAAACACGAGTTCATATTCGGTGATTTAGATCATCAGAACTTTTCTTTCAAATGCAACGAACATCATATTTAAAATTAGAAAAATAATCTGCATCGAATAGTATGCTCAATGTTTCAAATAGATTTTCGTCAACATTTCAGTTCATCATTGTTTTCTTTGGATAATCTAATTTGTGGGTGGGTGGGGTGTGGGTATGGATTTGAGTTTTGGTGTGGTTGTGTCCGTGTGGGTCTGGATCCTCTCTTAACTACACCCACACCCACACCCTGTAACTTCTTAGGAGCTCTCAAAACCCACCCATAGGGGTACCTAAGATCCATATATTCCTATCCATAGGAGGTATCTAGGACCCCTATAGTCCCATCCTTAGGGGCTACTCTTGACCCCTGAATGCCTACCCGTATGGATTACCTGGAATCCTTATAGTCCTATCGATAGGGGACCTGGGTAGTCTGCATAGATAGGGTGGTAGGGGTCTAGGCACCTCCTGTTTATAGGACTATAGGATTCTAGGTACCTACTATCGCAGGATCTCGAGATAGTGTACCGCGTGATTGATATTTTTTATCACGATCACAAGTATTATAAATTACGTATATAGATACATAAGAAAAACACTTCATCGATCGGTAGCTTACGTATTTTCTTTATTTTTTTGTTCAATATAGCATATGAACTGTCAGATGTTATTTCTGAAGAAATACTCGAAATTTTGAACGCATATATTACAATCGTGATTACCAAATCTGAGTCTCGATCACGATCACGCAATACATTACCTTGAGGGGTTCTGAGAAATTATAGATCTCTCCCAACAGTCGATCAGTTCGTTCAAAAGATCTGTTTAGAGAGATCATTTCTTATCAGAGATCGTTTTAAACAGTTTTTCAGATCCGAACTAAAACTAAACTTGTCGATGTCTAGTCAATAAATGTGAGCAATAAGACAGATTGATGTCAACGCTTATTTTACGTGGTTTTATTCAATAATTTATGCACTATAAGCTCAGTATCCTATGATGCGTAGGAAAAATATTTGAAACAGTTCTCTCTTGTGACACATCTTAAGGTCTTAACAGAGTTCCTTACCAAAAACGATGAAATCCGATGAGTAAAAACGTTTGCATTCTATGTGATCCGACATGTTCTGATGCTCGGAATTCACAGACTTTTACCGTCAAATTTTATGTCAATAGTGATTTGATAGGACAGGTTCCAATGATTTCTGGTCTCAGATGATATCGAATCATGTCGGATACGAAAGATTCTACTCGTCGCATCTTATCGTTTCTGAAGTTATATATCCAATCAGAACCTCATGGATCCAAGAATCGGTCTTCAACGCAAAACGATATAAGTTATCGGATTACAGTTGGAAGTTTCCGATCGGATCCAAACGTCGGAACAAGTTGGATTTTAAATCCATCCGACAGAATCCGATCCCACTTGAATCACTTGGGCATTCGATAGTAACTAAGACAAAAAAGCGTATAATATTCTTTTTCTTTTCTTTGTGGTAGCTTTTACAGTATATTATTGTTATTGATTTTTTCTCAAATAAAATGATTAAAATTGTCGTCAGTTTAATATCATATAGCAATATTTATCATAATGGAATGAATTAGATAAGAAAGAATCAATTTTAATGATAAAACTATAGAATGAGAACAAAAACAGATGGAAAATAAATATTTATTGAAACCTATAAAATGTAAAATCACTCGAAGAATAAATGCTCTTTATTGAGGAAAAAAACAACATTAAGATGAAATATTTAATAACTGTTCTGGTCCTCTGCTTAATTGGCTATGTTAACTCATCTTTATCCGTTCAAGAAGTTATTGATACAATGTTATCAAATATAAAGAATAAAGTAGAAGTCATTGAAAATAATCCAGCACTATTTGGTCGTATTTATCGATATTTTCAAGAAAAATATCCTCGTCAGGATTCAAATAGAATGATCGATTTTAACAATTCCAAACGTATGGAAATATTTACATCAAATTTAAAATATGTTATTCGGCATAATGAAGATCCTGCAGCAACATTTAAATTAAAAATAAATGAATTTAGTGATTGGATTGATGAAGAAAGGGATGGATTACGTTCAAAACTAAATATTGATCCAATTAATAATAAACAACCAGCGGAATCACGTGAGGACTCAACAGTTCCACCAGAATATGATTGAACTGATCAACAACGTATTCCATATACAGTCACGCCTGTTAAAGACCAACATCATTGTGGTTCATGTTATGCTTTTGGTATGGTTGGAGCTTTAGAAAAAACATATGCAGAAATTTATAAAGAATCTGGTCCATTAAGTCCACAACAATTAATTGATTGTTCAGGTCAAGGTGGTTGTGACGGAGTAGGTTTTCTTGGATCATTTTATTATATTCAAAGAAACCATGACAGGCTTCATTTAGAAAAAGATTATCCATCAACACCAGATGGAAAAGCAAACAATAAATGTCAAAATTCTACTGGAGTACGTCTTTCATATAATTCAACTTATACACTTAAATATGAGCAAATGCCATTTGGAAATGAAGAATATATGAAAAAAATTGTTTATGAACGAGATCCAGTTTATATTTCTTTCAATTGTGGAGAACGTACAGGTAATGATACTATTCTACGAGAAGTATCGAATAAATTTGATCATTATGCGGCTGGTATTTTTGATGTACCTGGATGTCCAGCACGTAGAAATTTAAATCATGCGCTTGTTGTTGTTGGTTATGGTACTGAAAATGGCACTGATTATTGGAAAGTTAAAAATTCATGGGGAGCAGATAGGGGTGATCATGGTTATATCAAAATTAAACGAAATGAGAACATGTGTGGAATTGCTACTTCGACTTATTATGTTGGATTATGTTGAGATCGTCATTCTCATCAATAAATTTAAATTAATTAGAGAAAAAAGTTAATTGAATAAGAGCTTTTTTTCTTACTCATACGATGCCTTTCATATATGTTGACAACAGATATCTATCCGTAAATACGAGATCAAGCTAGTAACTGGTAGAGCGTTGCATGCCCTTCTTGACTCAGAGTCAAACTTTTAGTCTTTGTCGAATCTGACACCATGTCTAGATTTAACTTAATATCCAGTTTTCATTCAACTTCGAGTTTGACTAGAGAAGATCCAAAGTGACTCTCTAGTAAAGAGTTGTGACTCTTTACAGACTTCAGTTGGGGTGTGTTAGCGTTCGTACTTGTAAAGAGCAACGAATACTACGTGTTCGAAATGTGCATGTTTTGTTCTCTCATTTATTTTATAAAAACGAGTGCATAATATATACAAAACATGAAAGCAATGATCAATAAAAGTCAGAAAGAAGAAAAAATCGAAGTGAAATGATAACATAGAAGATATCAGACGAACAAAGGAAAAATTAAAGAAATAAAAGAGAATAGAGAAGATCGAGATGTATGTTATAGTAATCTACTGTAGCAGAGACTATGAAAATGTGGATTCGCAGCTTCCTAGCTGCCATTGAACTATAGGGACGACCAATCCTGCTCAATTGATATTACCGATTTCAACAAGACTTTGCCTGTATGTAGCCCCAAATGGGATGTAGAAACACATAAAATTTTAGCTTCTAAAACCGTTCCCTTATTGAACTATTCAAACGACAATAGAGGAAACCTTTGGTAAAAATGAGGATAATCAGTGCAGTACCAGTGCATTATATGTTTCCTCATTTTTCAACAATACTGTTTTTTAGTTGTGAAATTTTGTGAATATATGCTACCATGGATACTCTACCTACTAACGTGCTCTAAGCCGCGTATCGGCATGTTAAGCGGTGTAGAGGATTTTCATAGGTCCTACATATACTTTCTTCCTTCTGATCAAAATTTCTATCGTGTATGAGCGAGCTTTGAGCTCCTGCTTTGGAACTAAGCACTACTGCCCCACAACTATTAGTAGCATTTTCCAAAACTTTGGGCTTGTGCTTTTGATCCGAATAAGAACTTAAGAGAAGGTCCTCCAGAGAGCCACCTTTAATCGCCGAAGAAAAGAACTAGTTTTTCGATTTAGCTCAAATGAAAGCTCTAGTCAAACCATAGTCAAATCCAAAATATTAAATCATTTGGTTTTACGTGTGAAAAAAGAGAACCAAAACATGTACAAAGGATCTGTTTTGATCCCTAAATATCGCTATATTGAGGGTGTGTTAAGTATTTTAACATTATCTCATCAAAGGCTTGATTGTCTGAGCTCGAATATGTTCCATTTGATAGAGAACAGTATAGACTACAAACTTATCCTATTTAAATGCCTACATATAGTGTGAAGTAAACATCACAGGTCAAAAACTATCCAAAATTCGAAAGATGCTCCCTTCAGGAATAGCAGTATTTTTTACTTTTCTTGCGTGGTGCACGTGAGCCTACAGTTCATTATTATCAGACATAGATCTAGCTAAGACACATCTTTTGACATTAATTTGTCGGATGTAAAAATATTGGAGGATCAAGTTAGCATGGATCACACTGTGTTTCACCCTACCTACTGATGGCGTGGGTGTAGGGTGAATGTCTGATGCATGTGGGACAAACGAACATACCGACGGCTACTTCTCGTTTGCGATCATAAGTCAAATAAAATTTTAAAACAATATTAAAGCTTTAAACTCCAGTCAACATTAAAGTTAAGAAATGAAACTATTTAATTTTCGAACACTACAAAAACTTAATCAATTTAAATTTCAAGTTTTAAATGATAAATACTCATATTTCACAATTTTCACTTTTAAGTTCGAATCGCATAAATTTTAGGAAGATGTAGAGTTCGCTAGTGGTTTCAATAAAATTTTATATTTAGTCTAGGAAGTTGTAGAGTCCGCTAGATAATCTAGCATAAATCTAACTAAATGTAAAAAAGATTGAGAAGTGTCGCTGTAGTCTGTTTGAACCTAAGCGAATGCGGTCTGAAAGTGTCACTTCTCATTTTAAAAGATTAGTGTAAGAACATGGCAGCAACACGAAATTAGTTTCACGTGTCATGGTATTTGATTCAGAAAGCTTTATCAGCTCTGGGTTAATTATGAACTTTGCTGCTTCACCAAAAAGAAGATTTTATAAGTGAGATGTAGTGTCGAATAAATTGTTTTAAAAAATGCCAATGAAATCTTGTCGCATTTTAAATTAGGTCACTGAAATAGTTTGATCGCGTGAGATTTTTTTATAAAACCTTGTTTGAAACGTAGCAAGATCATAGATTTAGTTTAAGGACTATGAACCTTAGTCTCAATCAGAAACGCTTTTAGGAAGGTGATATACTTAATTCTCATATTCAAAAACGAACCCTAATATAGCTCGAGCAAGGAACGAAAAAAAAAGAAATTTTTTGATGAAGATCGACGAAAGATTTTGAATTGTTTCTCTGATGTTCCACAAACATGATTCAATATCCATTCAAACTGTGACCTTGGTGGATGCTTGTTTGAAGAGAATTCGAACACTAACACCTAAATCTAGTCCGTTTACATTTTTGCCACAGTTTTCGTTGTTGAATAATTATATTTTTGGGTTCCAAATAGTTTCTTTTCAATGCACTGTTGATCTTGTGTTAGTGTAGAAACTACATAGAGTTCCAATACAAAAACAGCTTATGACGTTCATATTGGTAATTCGGTCTAATGAACTCTGAATATGAAACTTAATTTAGAAAAAGAAGAAGAGCACGACGTAGTTTAGCGCACTCTACTAATAAGAGCTGAATACATCGAAACCCTGCAAGCATATATCAAGCAAACTCTACATCTTCCTAAACCAAAATATAGAAATTGTATTGAAAGCACTAGCGAAATCTACATCTTTCTAAAAAAATATAGAAACAACGTAGAAAGAAGAGCGAACTCGACAAATTTTAATTCTTCAAACAAAATGGCTGTTAAAATTCGTTTCAGTAAAAAATATGAAATAATAAAAGCAAACAATTTTAATTTTCGGAGTTCTTTTCACAAAATGAGTTTTAACGAATTAAAAATTGAAAATTTGACACTTCCAATCACTTTTAATCTGAAAAATTCAAATTAATTAGAAAATGAAGTATAATTTAATTTAATGAACTTTGAATTTTCGACTGTATGTTCGCAGATGAGAGGATGCCATTCACTTAGGCCCAGTTCCATTCAACATAACCTCAATAGAGGGATCTGAATATTCTACAGTCATCATAAAAATAATTTCAGAACGAAAAAGCGAAAACATTTCAGAAGTAGAGGAGGGAAGTTACTATTATTTTACCAAGTAACTAATACAGCTTTCATTTCTTGGTAAATTATCTGATCAGTAACGGTAACTGGCCAGTGGTTACCATTGTGTTCGAGGAAAGACAATATAGTGTTATGTATAGAAGCAATCGGTAACTGGTAAGTTATCGATTACTTAGTAGCCGACTACGAATTCAGTATCAACTATCTGGGTAGCCGATAACTGATCCGTTACTAGTTATATGATTACTGAATGGTAAGTTCCTATTCTTAGAGCATAAGGGTGGTCGCTACCATTACTGATGAGCTCCTTTACCAAGGAACGAAAACTGTGTCAGTTACCAGTTGTTTGGATAAATGGTAACTGATCCGTTACCCATTACCTGGTCAAGTAACTGCCTGATAACAGTAAGTGACAACCCCATTGCAAAAGTTGTCATCTCTACCTGGTGAACAGTTTCAAAATGTCTCTTGGCTGTCTACCATAGAGTGATCGTATTTGACATGCCATAATAAAAGTTAGAAGCATCTGTATGTTTATAAAGATCTATCAAACTATGAACCATTAGATGAAGTAATAAAACCAAATCTTTTCGTTAATCAGTGCTAATTTTCTGAAAAAGAGAAGGTCTGGAGACCAGGGTGTTATATTCTGGATCCCAACAATAAGATAATACCTTTCAAAGAAGTGAATCATGCAGCATACAAGAATTTAACAAGATCAAAATGTAGAACTTCTAGCAAGAAGCCTGTTCAATCGAATAATGAAGATCAAGCAGACAAAGATAATGAATTGCACCAATCTGATGAGAAATCTAGTAGGAATGTCAAGATGGAGGGATATGATGAATCGATACCAATCGATGAATTTGATCAATATTTTCTTCCGGATGTGTCTAGTTCTAAAATTCATGGAATGGGCATCTTTGATTCCTTCGATAATCATCAATCTGAATCTTTCTTTCTCATCGAGGCCAATGTTCATAGCACAAATATGCGGAGATAGACCGCAAAGCGGTATTTATCAAAAACTAAATCTATTTTGTCTTCNAACATTCCTATGAATATAAAGATTTAAGGAAGAAAGATCCTACCTATTTGGTCATGAAAACACGTACCAATCCTGTTTAAACGAAGTTTCACAAGTTATTCTGCCTTAATCTCAATTTAACAAGTACTGGTGAGACTCTGTTAAGATACAGGGTTTGAACGCTTTTTCATGGCAAAATAGGTAGCATCTTTCTTCTTTAAATCATTAAGTTTATGAAATTTTTTCCAAGAGTATAATGTATTCTGTATGAAGCTTTTTTTTCCGGCCGCGCTTGTATCAACAAAGTTAGGCGAAATAGATGGTAAGCACAACTTTGGCCAAATAAAAATGTCGAAAACAAAAATGAGTGTGAAGTTGAGCATGTCAGAGTAAAGATGATGACTACTCCCACTGTCATTTTCGACATCTCTGCCTTTCGAAATTTGTATTATTGCTGTTGTCGACATTTTGATTTTTCGACATTTTTACTTACGACCAACGTTAAGACATTCAAATAGATTATATAGAGAGAGACTAATATCACAAGAATCAAAATGTTCTTGCGAACATGTCCTTATTTAATGCCCAGAGTAATTCAAAATAGTTATTTGAAAAAAAAAACAAAAAAGAAGATACGTACAATTGTCGATCTTATATTTATTTTCAGACCATTCACTATCAACGTCTTGAATCACTCAAGTTGATTGTTGTATTTCAAAACTATCATCTTCTTTGTGTATATCAACAAGATTATCACGAAGATTTTTAGAATCAGAAAAAGAACAGTATATGCAGAACATAGTGCACACCGAAAACAGATATTCCGCGCACTTTACTATATATGGCGCACTTTATCATTAGAAACACTGGATGAATGTCACTTTACAGAGGATAATGATTGCTCATTTTCTTTTTGATTTGATATTTTTAGCAACAACAAAGGATAATCCTTCTAAAAGTTCACTACGAGTAACATCATCATTATCATAACGAATAGGCAAAGCAGCAATTCATAATGTTGATAGATCGATTTGTACTGCTTCTTCGTCCTAATTTGTGGGATATATGTACTTTTATTTGTAGCACGTGCTTTTACAGCTTGTTGGAATATTCGAATTTGTATATCTTCTGCCTCAGGTGAATGATAATGATCATCTTTAATCTTTAAGATAATATCGTCAAGATCAGTATGTACAGTTACAGTACAATGTATACCTAAACATCCATAATACTTTGTTTGTACTTGTCTTATTCAATTTGAAGATGAAATTATCCATATTCAACATTTTTTTGCCTTTTTGAGAAACAATGAATGAAATTATATTAGAAAGAGTAGTCATCATACCTAAAATAACGAAAAAATCATTTAGTACATCTTCACCTAAAGAATGAACATATTTAACGGCACGAGCTAACCAAAAGAGAAATGTTTCAAGCATTCTATTATATTGGCCTGTGGTGATTATTCTTTTCCTTTCTTCATTTTCCCATCATACCTGAATCATTACCATGAATATAATGATTTACTTTCAGCAAAAAATATGAAAGAGTACACCAAGTCGACGAACATTAAGTAAACCATCAAAATTAATATATTCATATTGTCGTTTAGCATCATTTTATTCATATATATTGATTCATCGTTTTTATATGGTGGACAAGATTCTTACTGAAGAGAAGATTGTTTAAATTACTTGGCAGAATAAATAGATTGCTTCATATTTCATTTTGTTTAAAATCTATTAGCATAATCTCTGTATATTTAAAATGTAAAACACTCTATGCTGGGAGATATTGCTTTACCAAAAAGAAAGTAGTTCACATATTACAACGAGATGTTATTGATATACAGTCTCAAAACATTATATCAACCACGTCTGTGACGGAGAGGCGGGCATTGCTAAGGTGTTTGTGAGAGAATATGAGAAGAAGACTTGAAAAGAGTTAACTTTCTTTTGAAAACATAGCAATTACATGCATAATTAACATTTATCATTAAAAAAAATTAATTATTAAGAAATGAGAAAAGAAAGAAGTTAGACAACATGCTAGCAACATAATCAAGTATGCATTCAAGACTCCTAATACACAGAAGATATCATGATAAGCAAATGGAACCATAAATATAATTGGATCTGAATTTTATATTTTTTGATTAGAAATAAATAGTGAACTTTATTTCAACCCTTTTTTTTCAAATCAGATCCAAGTTTTATAGTACAAGGAATATGATTTGTACAGCAAAATCAGTCAATCTGACCTTCCTACATCTTACAATATTAGTTGCGTATGAATAAGACGACAGCATTGGTAATGATGACCGTATGTCAACAAATTATTGATTAATTAAGGAATTATAATCAAGATTAACTGATGTTTATATTAATGCAAAAGCTAAAAGGCAAACAATATTAGAGGATTTTTTAAATAAAATTTGGTCTTGTTATTAAAAAATCTTTCAAGCAAACTATGCGACAACTCTCTAAACTGAATATCTCTGCATGGTGAACACTCCTAAAATAGTCCCAACAGAGTTCACTATAGACAGGTGTTACTGTAATCCATATGATCAATTAAATCTCAGAGTATTACATTTATTGACATTGAAAAATCTATTCAAATTTATGCAGTTTTGCAATGAGGTTTATCTGATCAAATTCCTTCATTTTGCTTTCTCATTTTAAAAGTAAATAAAACAAAAATAAATGAAATATAATACCAGCATTCTTATATTATACTCTGTGCATTAAAATATGAGACTAAATCAACATATATAACACAGCATTTGTAAAGAACAAATTAATTTCGTTGATATAATGGTTGCATCATATATAATATAACAGATCTTAAAACACAGAGATTAAATTTTTCTTTGTGTACTATTAGACTTAATCATTTTTACTAAAGATAATTTTAATATACTAATAATTTTGAACATGGGATGTATGAAATCATAGTTTTTCAAATAATTCTTTCACAGAAAATTTTTAACTAAATCTAATTTAAAAGAATATCAAATTGAAGAATGATCTTGATAATTATTTTTTTATCGTTTTGTTTCAATGAGCAATATTAATATTTTATGATGCATAGAATAATATTCATTTTAATATATAAAATATTATCGATTTGTACAAAAAAGATAAATTTTCAAATTAACTTTTTGTTACAAAATTCGAACGTATTGACACATCTGTTGATAAAGATTTATTATCTTGCAATGTTGAAAATGCTTTGATCAATGTTAATTTCTCTTGATGTAATCTATAAATTTGTTCTTCTGCATCAGCTAAATCCTTTTGAAAAAGAAAAATTTGTCTATTAATTTTTAGTAAGAGAAAAAATGAATTTACTCGTGTCATTTTTTCCACTTTACGTTCTAAGTCATGTATAATATTATCTTTATCATGTGCAAGTGATTCAAGTGTAAGAATACGCTCTTCAAGTTGTCGAAATTTTAATGTTACTGAATCATCATCTGATGTTTGCTAATATAAAAAAAAAAAATAATAAATTAATAAGAATAATAAAAAGCAAATCGACAAACCTACTTGTTCTACTCGACATACAATAAATTGTTCAGGTCGAAAGATTTTTGTTGCTAAATCGGGATTATTATCTAATGATGATGTCATTCCATAAGAATCTATTAAAATATAGATTGAAATTTTAATTAATTAAGTTTTTTTTTTTTTGGTTAAAAATTCATTTACCTGTTTCAGAAATAGATAAATTTTCGAATGATGGTCTATGAAATAAAAATGATGAATAATGATATTTTTTAAAGTTTTGTACTTATTTACTTACTGAATTCGACTAACTGTAAACATTGGCGTAGAACAATTAGAAGAAGGCATCTGAAAAGATTACATAAATTGTATTGAAAAAAAAAACATAAACAAATAGTTTTCTTCATACTGTTTGATTATGATCAAATGATTCATTGGATTCAGTAATGTGTTTTAATACTTTTTCTTCGTCTTCATCATCTTCATTATGAGTATCCTAGAATAGAAATTATTTACAAAAAATATTCGTAAAAGAACAGATTCTTTTTTATTGTCAGTATTATAAGGGATATCTTCAATTTTAACATTCACATGAAGAAAAAGAATGAATTATTTTTTTCCTTTAAAAAAAATTGTTGGTTTATCTATGATCAAACACAAAAAAAAACACAATTTTCATGTTTTCTCAATGTCATAAATTTTTAAATGCCGAAGTCGGTGAGCTGAGACACCGTTGTCAAAAAAAAAAAGTTATTGAAGATTCTAGCCACCATTACCAATGTACTAATCCGATACTTTATTAATGATTGATTATTGTAGAAAAACTTATATCGATAAAAATATGTTTTTCATTGAAAAAGAATCACCACAAATGATATACTCACTACTGAAACTTCATCGGAACGAATTCCTGTTGATCGACGTTTGTCTCTTAAATTCCGTTTTAATCTTAGATTAGTTCGTGTGGTTGATTTATTTGAAGGTTTTGATGTCGATGATTGAATAACAATAGGTAAAGTTTCATTTGATCGGCTAGTCGTCATTAAGTCATACTGAAAACGACAATCATTTGTTGTTGGTATTTCATTTGTCATTAGGAAAGTAGAACGAGACATCTGGAATAAATTAAAAATATAATAAAATCCATGTCTAATAGCATTATTTATCCTTTTAGAGGTTATGTATGTTCTGACAATAATAACAATAGTTTGATTTCTTCTAGACAATGTCTGACCCATATGCTTGATGTGTTTATTTATACTCAAACTAGTTTTCTTATCTCTTATATATTTATCATGAACAAGACTACCATAAAAAAAAAACTGCATATCTCTAACGGTTGTCATTGGTTTTTAGGCTTATTATTATAATCATATTAGCGTGGGTTGAGCAGAGAAAGCAAAGTAAATATATTGATTCATCAATGTTTCAACATTGTCAGGCTGTGATTTAAGGCAGATTACAGAAGAAATTCTTCAAATGCATTAACAAAAGATTATTCTCAAGGACGAAAGAAAAACAGATAAATATGTCATGATATTTTCTTTGCTTCTTATACTTTGATAACACATGGAGAACAAAAAAACAAAACTATACAGAGAGATCTTACATTTTTGTTATTGCTTGAAGAGTTACAACAACAATCAATTTGTATAAGTTCATAATAAAATAATTTAATTTCGCAAATGATATTAAAAAATGAATTTTTTTTTTTTTTTCTAAGTATATATTAGTGCTATAGACAATGTTAATGATATGATGATCAGTAATTATTGACAGAAAAATTGTATGCAATGAAATATGATCTATCATCATATTAGGAAAACAGGAACTTGTGTGTTGAGTACTTATGATGAGGCAAATGCTCTCAGAGTTGAAAGAGCATATAGACAAAGATTTATGTTTTTGTACCGAAACATATTGTGATAATTATAGAAAATCTTTCTTTTTTCTTCAAGAGATAGAGAAAGAGTGATGACTATTTTGTTATATTTATTATGAACACATATTTCTTCATATTATAATTTAGATCGAACAATGAATTGTGCGATGTATTTCAAAAGTTCGAGTCATTTACAATTATGAAACTAAAACTGCAAGTTAATTATAGTCAAAAATAAACATATCGAATAACTCATTTAATAGAGCTAAATATTAAAAAAAATAGGCATACCATTAAAATAGTGTCTAGTATCTGTAAAAATTCCAGATCTATCAGATTTAATGCGGGTGAGAAACCCGGGCGATTTTTAGCTTTTGCAATGCAGATATTTCCTACAAGGAAGCATCTAGACATTTGGAGTCTATGACAGCTTCTACGCTCTACTAATGAAAATCTATCTACCATGAAAGTTTCAGACATTTCTGATGAATTCTTCTTTAGAGATACAGACAAGAGTTGTTCTCTTAAGATAAAATCGACTCAATAAATCATATATTGAAAATAATCTGTACGACATGCTCATTGTAATTTCAAAAGCAATTCTACACAATCTTTTTAGCTAGATTACTCCGTGTGATCACTTTTATTGGGTTTTTCTTTTGAATTTTGTTGTAAAACTGACCGATTTGAGTCGTTTTCGATGCATTTTGATAACAGCCATATATTTGAGTTGTCTTTATTAGTTATCGAGCACAAATCAGCTCCCATTATGCGATAGTAAGTTTCTATTATAGATGGCGCTGGAAATATTTTTATTAGTAAAATAAATTCTAAAACTGTTTTCTTCTTGGTTAATATTAATTTCTTTCTAATTAATAGTTCGAATTTGGGTACAAAATACCCTCTGCAATTGTTTATAGCTAGATCTGAATGTCGTAAGTGCTACTATCAGTTCTTATGAATACTGCCGTAGGGCAAAAAAACCTGCAACATGTGTTTTCATATGACGTATCAATCATATCTTTATCTAATTGATCACTAATAAAAATGATGTCTTAGGATATCTGATAGTACTATTTGCAATGAAAAGATATTCAGATGATTAGAGATTCATTACTTTTTTCAAGTTTAAGACATAAAATCACCCTTTTAGGATTGATATATTTCATTGAAATGTCATAAAAAGAAAAATATACTATTAGAAATAACGTTTAAAATATTTTCAACATTCATTACAGTCCATCCTCACTCAGAAATCGTAATTATCGTCAAAAAAAATCGATTTTACGCGATTCCATAACCTTCAATATCAAATATGGTATGCTGAATTTAGTATGCTTTATCAAGGTTTGTTTTCTGTATCATTTTATTAATAGAAAAGCTTGAGTTCCTAGGTCAAATTTTGTTTCGTATTTTTCTATTTTTTTCTCGTTCTTGTATCAAATATTTCTCTGCTATTTTACATAGCTTGAAGCCTTGACAATTTTTTTTTCATTGAATCACTCATAAGTCTTAGCTACACATTACAATCAATTCGAAATCTGTATCATTAGATTTTCAGAAGAAATCCTTGTCACACGAAGACCTATTTACTATGAACTGGTAAGACTGAAATTTTCCGCCAGATCGATTATTCTAAGGCAAAAGTAAGTTTCTGACAAGGTTTGAGTCTTCAAGTTAATATGAAATTCTTTTATTCTGAGTTTAATTTATTCCTGAAGCAAAATTTATTGCATCGATATTTAGTTTATCTATCGAAACAAAAAAAAAAAAACAATTTTTCTTATTTCTTTTTAATATAACATGAATAATTATTTTCATTGAACAATCTTTATTTCAACAATATATATATAGAGTAAAAATGCATCATGTCATTTACTATTTCAAAAGTATTTTGCCACTGTCGGAATGAATAAGACATTAATGATATCCGGGCGAAAGAACTTTGTTTTTTTTTTGTCTTAGAAGTACTAATAAATTTTACATGCCAACGAGTTCGAATAGTTAGAAAATAAAAAACGACAGCATAAATAGTTAATTATTTAAAATTCATTAAGTTTTGGAATGTAAACTTAAAAGAAAAAAACTAAATTAAATATTTATTAGACACATGCAAAAACATTTTTGAAAGATGTTACATTTTGATTATATCATTTTTATTAAAGTAATTATAAGCAAGATTTTCATATGTTTATTTATTTATTTTTATTTGTTTTATGATTTAACGTTAATTTTTGGTAAAATAAAAGGTCTTTGTTCTGCTGTTTCTCGTGCTTTTTGTCTATTAGCAGCATCTTGTTTAAGAATTAATGTATGACGAGTATAATCTTCATTCATTTTTTTAACATCATAAACACCTTTAACATTAGCAAGACGATTGACAATAGATAAATTTTCTCGTAATATAGGTATATGACTTTTTAAAACTTTTCGACGATAATCAATAACATGTCGTTCTCGTAAACGTTCTTGTTCAATATGTATTGATGGATATGTACTTGGTTCTTTAGCTATTCGAGCTAAACGCTCTAGTTTTTGTCTATTTTCATGATAAATTCGATCATCTTCTTCTTGTTTAGCCAATTGACGACGTTGTTGTTTCCAATAACGTAAATTAAAACGATCAGGTGTAAGATATGAAAATGTTTTACGTGATGAATTTGATCGAGTACGTTGTTGATTTGTTGAATTTAATTTTTCATGTTTAATTATTCGATGACGAATAATTGGTGAAAGTGGTCTTTCACTTATAATTATATTCGTCATTTTAGACGATTCATTTCGTTCAGAAGTTTTTGATGAATGTGATTGTGATCGAGTAATTTTCAATGAACTTGTTCGACTATTTGTATCATTTATTTCTGTATTTAATTGATTTTCATCTTTATTTTCAATAGGTATTTCTGATGAAATATATTCATCTTTATTTTCCATGGTTGTTATTGATGAATTATCATCATTTTGATTTTCAATAACTACTGGTGATGAATTATTTTCATCTGTATTTTCAACCGGTGTTGTTGATGAATTATTTTCATTTTGATTTTCAATAACTACTGGTGATGAATTATTTTCATCTGTATTTAAAATATTTGATGATCCTTGTCTGGAACCAATTGACATTATTTAATGATACAAAAAAAAAATCGATCTAATGCAAATGTATTCAGAAATAAATATTTGGAATTTTTTTTTTTCTTTACCTGTTATATAAAGTTTATTTCAATAATGGTAATCTATCACGACCATCCACAGTTATCAAAAGACAACAAAAAGAGAGGGAAGAAAAAGAAAATGACGAAAGAAGAAATAAAAAGATGCAGAATAAAGACCTTTTATTTTACCAAAAATTAACGTTAAATCATAAAACAAATAAAAATAAATAAATAAACATATGAAAATCTTGCTTATAANCTTCCCTCTCTTTTTGTTGTCTTTTGATAACTGTGGATGGTCGTGATAGATTACCATTATTGAAATAAACTTTATATAACAGGTAAAGAAAAAAAAAAAAAAAAAAAGAGAATTCTTCGCAATATTACAAGAGTTTTTTGATAAGGAATAAGAGTATAGAAAAAAAAAAGACGACAGAATAAAAAAAGGACATTAAAAGATGAGCGTATACGTCTCTACTGATGTTAAAAAACATGGTGAAAGTGCCGTATCTATGACATTTGCTTCCGCTCTCTTGTAAACTATTTTTTAATTCTTTCGTTTTTTTTTTCTTCAAATGAAATATGAGCTTCTTTTGTTTGTGTGTTTGGCATCAAACAACTGAAATTATCAAATGAGAAACAGACGCGTCAGTCAGTATTTTTTCAATAGTCATAGACTCAATGATATATTACAATAAAAGACCTCGTGCTATTCAATGTGTTAGCTTGGCTTCTCATTTGATATTATGAAGGACTTCATCTATATAGATAGACAATACGTAATGATTTCAAGGTGAGATCGTAAATTTTGACGCTACGCAAAAACGGCATGTCGTTTAGCTAATGCTATTTGCCGATTGAGCAGAAAGATAAAGCCAAGGATATCAAATCGTTATGCTTTAATATAAATAATACTTGTTATGTCTACATGCATGATTGTTCAATGTCCATCACGGTTGACTAAGCATTAAATATATTGATATATCATAATGAGTATATAAACAACTGATTTTTTCTCGTCACAACATGATCGAGTCTCATTATCATATTGATTATACATTTTGCAATTAAGCAATGGCTAGGTTTGATGCTGCTAAAGCAATATTTTCTCAAGTAGATGCAAATAGTGATGGAAGGTATGTAATGGTAATTTTCAAACAATCTAAGAAGAAAAACAAGTTTTCGAATGTTTCTAGAATTGATCCACAGGAATTTCGTAGTTGGGCTTCCAACAGTAATGCTGCAGGAGGTTTAGGTTCTGCAGCATATGAATCATCTTCATTTCAATCATCATTGGGTGGATTAGATGCATCAGCCGGTCTTGCTTTCAACAGTGGTGCTAGTTTAGCTGAGCTTGGAGGAAGTAGTGCATACGAAGCAGGATATAGTTCAGAAAGTGGTTTTGAATCTGCTGGTGGTTTTGCCGCTGGTGGCGGCTTTGGTGTAGGTGGTGGCCTTGCCGTTGGTGGAGCCGATAGTTCATTCGCAGCATCATCATCAGGTGAACTTATTCAAGCAGGTGGTGCAGGTCTTGAATCAAGTAGTGTACAGCAAACTACTCAATATGCTTCAGCTGGTGGTATTTATAATGATCCTAATCCACAAATAATTCGACGAGCAGCAGCTGGTGGAGTAGTAACTTATAAACAAAATATTGTTGTTCGATTTCTTCAACCGCCACCTGTTCCACCACCAGGCGTAAATAATCTCTTTTTTGTTTTGTTTAGTTCAATTCATTTTCTTTTTATTTTGTATTATTATAGCCACTTATTATTAAAGAAGTTCGTCCGCCTCAACCACCACCACCACCACCACTTGTTGTACGTCAACGTGCACCACCTCTTCCTCCACCACCTCCACTTATTTTACGTGAACGTCCTCCAGTACCACCTGCACCTATTGCTAGTCAAACAGGTAAAGAAATAAGAAACAAAAAAAGAATTTGAATAATTCTATAATTAATCATATATTTGTATAGTTATTCGTCGTTTGGCTGCTTTACCTCTTCCACCACGATCGGTCATCATCGAACGTCTTCCACCTCTACCACCAAAACCACGTAAAAAAAAACTTAAATTATTTCTATTTTAATTTGAAATTTGATTCTCTTGTTTTTTTCTCCAAGGTGATATCATTATTGAACGATGGATTCCATATGGACCTCAAACTAAACGTCGTGTCATTGTTCAACGTGCTGCTGCTGTTAAAGAATATCCAAAACCACGTAATATTATCATTGTATATGATGCTGTTCAAGCACGTGTTGTACGACAATTTCAACGACTTGGTGTTGTACAAGAAAGTCCACAAGCTTATGTTACTCGTTATGGTGGATCACTTTTAGATGCAGCAGCACTTCTTCAACAAGCTCGTGCCGCTGGTGTTGTTGAAGATATTGTAAGTCAATATATGATTGGACAACAACAACAGCAACAAAAACATTCAATAAAAAATTATTTTTATTTTAGTCATCTCCAGCATTAGCTGTGGGATCTGCACAATTCGCTGCATCGGCTTATGGTGCTGATGCTGGTTTAGATTATTCAGGTGCATCATTCAGCCAAAGCGCATCATTTAGTCAAGATGCTTCTGCAGCAGGAGGCGATCTTCCTGGTCTTGAAGGACTTGAAGTAATTGGTGGTGCTGAAGCTGGTACATACGGTTTAAGAGTTGCTAGTGATGCTGTTAGTGGAGGATACGGATCTCAATATTATTCATCATCATCAGGTTATGGTGGTGAAGGAGGTTTCATTGGTGGTGCTGGAGGTTTGGCTGGTGGCGCTGGATTTGATGTAGCTGCTGCTACTTTTGCTTCTGCAGATACTAACCGTGATGGCACATTAGATCAAGCTGAATTTCAACGTTTTGTTCAAGGCGGTCTTTAAATAATTTTATAGACTTTTATTCTGTCATTAATATTTTTTAGATTACAACATAGTTTTAAACATAGAGTTTTTTTTTTTCATTTTTTGATATAGAAGAATAAATTACGTTTATATAAAAAAGGAGAAAAAGAAAAAAAAACACATTTTTCGAAGCAAAACTGCATATTGTCATATTAAGAGAAAAAAAAATAATAACTTTAACCAACAATGCTCACGCCACTATCAGAAGAATCACGTTTTCTTGTATACCAATCAGGTAGTGTTGTTGAACGAGCTAATTGCATTGCTTCAAGCCATAAATCAGCATAAAATGCTAACTTATTATCGGAATTTTTGAGTTTTTCATCAATTAAATCATGCTTTTGATATACTATTTGATGACTTGAATCAATAGCAAATATATGTGTTTTAGTTGTTTCACGTAATGTAAATATTCGTGTTTCAGATTCAAGTTGTAATTCAATTAGATTAGAAAGTATGATAGAATATTCTTCAGCTTGATCAAGTTTAGCACCATATATATGTAATTGATAATCTTCTTGTAAAGCAATCCAAATATTTGTACCTGAATTAACCGTACGAAAATCACCAAAAAGTATAGTTCGATCCATATCACGTGTTGATTTTGGCCATATACTTGAATTTTTATTTGGCTCTGTACCAGTAAAATGTGTATAACATGTATCACAAACACGTACTTCATCATTTTTACAATATTCAAGAAGTAATTTTTTTGTTGAACATGAGCCACATACGCATCGTCCACAACAACGACAATGATGTCGTCGTGATAAAATAATTGTTGTACGAAAACGATTATTACAATTTTGACAACGTGTTACATCAAGATCATTAATCCATACAGGAGCACGTGTACCAAGTTGGTGTTCGTCAGGCTGATTAAGTGATTGACGAACTGAAATATGAAATAAACAATGTTTTTTTTTTTAAAGATTAATGCCTTGTCTTCGAACTTTATGTTAAATGTACTTCAAACTTTCTCGGCTTCTTTTTATTATAAGGATAATTGTACGTGGCTTGTGCAGCTAAAAAGAACTATGCTTGGTCATGTCATTTGTTTTGAATATCAGCAAAAAATATATCGTAGTCGCTAGTCAGAATTAAACATATACTCCTGTATCATTTTAATGGAAACATAGTGTTCCGGTAGCCGAACATTTGACTAAAAATGACAATCGCGCTTTTTCAAGATTAAAATATACTTGGAAATCTAGTCTATCTAATGGTATTACAAGCTTCAAAGAAACTGATAAAAAAGCATTTTTAGTTTGTCTGACTTTGGAAAAAAAAGTAAATTGTGACAAAAATAATATATTTGAATTCAGAGCATTAAATTGCATTGAATGATGTAGAATAGCAAACAATTTCGAAGAAAAACATTTTGTCGAACAAAGGAGGACCAAAATTCTCCTGAGACATTTTTCATTGAAAGAAAAAATGAATACTGGAGGAGGGGAAATCTTTCTACAGCATGCCCGTCAAATTTGGCTTGGATAAGAGCTAACTGAAGTTATAAGAATTCCAAAATTCACTTATTTTATGTCAGCGAAAAAAAAAACAATTCTTACCAAGTCTTCTACTCTTACAATCCCTTCGGAGAAAATTCTAGATTACATCCAATAGTCTTATAATTTTGAGATACTAAATAAGATGAATAGGTACTTGTACATACAAAGTTTCATTGAAAACGAATGATCAATGCTAAAGCGTATAATTCAACATTTCATAAAACGTCTATATTTCATGATATACTAAACTTCACCGTCAGATACATTTTGAAGCAACATGTTACTCCATAGAAGCAAAGTCAGAAAATTAATTTTCATGGACAAAAGTTTCCCGAAAGATATTGTAAGAGTAGAACACTCGGTAAAGATTATTTTTTCCGCAGACACTAACTAACCAAATTCTTCAAACCTCAAAACTCCTCTTAGATCTTAACCAAACCAAAAGATATTCTAATATTCATAGACTTGGTGGTAATAGTATCATCGAAAGTTAAGCTATAGTGTGACACAAGTGCGTCATTTTCTTTTATTTTTACAGCTGTAAAAACTATGCTTTTGTAGGGTCTGTTACAAATGACGTTGAGTGTATTACTGTCCTATTTTAGTGATAATTCTTTTCAAGAAAAACAAATTCTTGAAAATTTGCATATAACGTTATGAATAGCTTCTTTCTGAATGCTTTAGATCTTGTCATTGTTCCTATCCTACAGTACAACTATAGTAATAACATATCTTTTACATTGCAAATATAAATCGGCACATTTAATTTTCTTATTTGACGGTGAAAGCAAAATGAAAAAGTCTGAAATTTTCACAATAAACTACTCTTACTAAAGTCTATCTCTATTCCAATGAATTTTTCTGATGGGAACCATAGCATTTATTTAAAAAGTACCGCAAAAGTATAGTATCTTCATAGCAATAAGCTAAGAACAGAAATTCTTTTAAGGATATTCATAGCTCATTTGAGTCTGCAAAATGCACATAGTCTCGACTCAAAAGCAATTAATCACTTGAAGAATTTCCTTTGTTAGCTACCAACACAAATGAAAATATTTCGTGTAGATCAAAAAAAAAAAAAAAGAATTCCAGGAATATGAACTTTCTTGAATAATTTCAATCAAAGGGATTCTGTTGATAGAATACGTTACGACAGTCTACGTTGTAGAACTTTGTCACATGAAATTGCCAAGTTATGAAAATCTAAAGATCAAAAACAGGTGAGTAGACTACCTCTAGACACGTTATTGATGTAAAGTGTGTAGAATGCAAAATTTAAATAGATTTTATTTTAATTTTATTTTTACATGGTTCGATAGAGCTCAATGAGATGGTTATGAATATATAATTATTTTTTTTCAATTAGGCTACTTTCTAATTGAAAGAAAGATCTAAAAACTAAGTACATGAGATGTAAGGTGCTGAAAAAAGATAACATCAAATATCTTATCTCATTCGACTCATGACATGTCGGGTAACAAAAGTTGTTTTTTCAAATCTTATCTTATCATTAAGAAAATTAATCATTTTTTCATGTTTTAAAGAAAAAGGTCATAAATGATACGATATTTTCTAATTTTCTTTCTCATAACCTCATGAAAAACCAAAATAAGCAATAAATTCAAAATCACCATAAAAAACCTACATCAGATCGTATATATTTTAGGAGAAGTACAAGCGCTCTTAGCATAGAAAATAGATTTTATTAAAATGTATGCAATCCGCTATAGTTTTTCGTTCTGATTTCGGATTTATTATTTATTTGACTTCTCAATTGAGCTCTTAGAATCAAAACTAGTAATATAGAGTCAATATTTTATTTAGATTTATCTTTTCAGAGCGACGATTTAAAACTCTGAGAAGACGAACATCTAGTTTTAGAAGCATAGAGACACATACACTGGATAAAACACTGTACAATGATTCGAATGGAATAAGATACTTATAATTATAAAATTTTCTGCAAAACTATTTTCATACTTTCAATTATTGAATTTCGTCTATTATATTCTTCACTAGCTTGTCGAATTTTTTTCACCCAAAGTTCTCGATCAGATTCTTTTTCAGCTAAAAATTCATAGGATTTTTCTACAGCATTAACACGAAATGGATAATATATAATTCCATTATTTTGTTGATCAATATTTGGTATTGTTAATGGTCGTCTATTTTGTAAAACATCAATAGTTATAGCTCTCAGTGATAATTCACGTTTTATATCGAGTTTACGTCCTGATTCTTCATTACATACAAGTATACAATCCGAAAATAATATCATATAACGTTGTGCAACATCATTATGACGACGTGGAGATACTTTTTTAATTAAACCATGCCATAGAAGTTTACGATGATCTTTAATACATTCAAATTTATTATCAAGACGTTCTTTTAATTCAGTTAATTGTGATGCTGACACAACTAATTCTTGTTCACATCGTCCAGCCATACGATCAAGTTCATCATGTATAGAACGTGTATGTTTATATTCAGCAGAACTTTCATCAAGATATTTCATATAAGTTTTCATACAAAGAATATAACTAAAAAAAAAATATTTTATTAAATAATATTACTTTTATTTTGTTCAGTAGAAAAATAGAAAGGAGATTGTTTACAGCTTTCTTAAAGCACAAATTGCAATATTTATCAGGATTCTAGTGAAAAAGGAATGTATATATATGGGGGTTACAAATTTGACTGGTACCCCGTTTTGATGCAGATCCTATTGTAAGAATAAAACCTACTATTGTCCGGGCCATATAAGAGAGGGTCCTACATAACCCTAGAGTGGCCCGAACAACAGCATGTTTTGTCCTTACAATAGTAGAGAAAAGCTACCAGTCCTTATCGTGTGAGCTGGTAGCTTTTCTCTACTATTGTAAGGACAAAACATGCTGTTGTTCGGGCCAATCTAGGGTTATGTAGGACCCTCTCTTATATGGCCCGGACAATAGTAGGTTTTATTCTTACAATAGGATCTGCATCAAAACGGGGTACCAGTCAAATTTGTAACCCCCATATATATATAAACATGTATTTTGCTAAAATTGACTTTTGTTCTTAGTGAAACATGTTTTATCATAATAGATCTATGAACTATTTTGTTTTTTGCTACTGCTAAGAAATACATTTTATTCATTGTCTTTGAAAATATAGCAATTCGTAATAGAATAAAAAAAAAAACAAATTTCATATTGAATATATTACCGAAGTAAACGTTGATTTGGACAATTAAGTTGAGTAATTGGATATAAATTACCAAGATGAGCTTGACATTTAACCATAGCATCATTAATTAATGGATAATTTTTACATAAGTCATCTAATTTTCCTTGAATATCACAATATGTAACATAATAATTTTTATATAATACTTCAATAACTTTAAAATTTTTTTCTAATACTGACCACATATTACCAGTACATTGACCAGTGATATATTCTTCAATTTCAGGTAAAATGAATTTATAATGTAATTGATATATTTGTTGTATAGTGGCAAGTAGAGGTTTATATGTATTATTAAATGTTAGTATAAGATTCTCATCTTTATCACATGTATTTTTAATTTCAGCAGAAATTTTAACGGAAAGCACATAGAGAATATTCACATAAGTTTTTTCAGTAGTATGAACTTCTTCAATACATCGACGTAATTTGGTTTGCTAAAAAACGAAATACGAAATAAAAAAGAAAAATAGAAAACAAAATAACAAACTCGTTCAGCTTCATAATTTTCTTCTTCATCACTGAATGATGCATCAGATGAATTACATCGACTTAAATTTGGATTTGATGAAAGACTAGAATCACCGGCTATACTATCAGTTGTATCAATTGATGGAACGGAATTCCAATCGGATATTTGAGATGTAAGATAGTTTTCTGGACGAGGTGGTGGACGTGGTGGAGGTTGACAAGAATTCGTTGTTAAACCAGATGAATTTGATTTATGTACTGGTTGAGAATGACGATTCGATACTAATGGTTGATAAACATGAGGATTCTTGTAAACATCGAAAAATTCACGAATCTAAGAATAAAAGATCTTAGAAGACTTTTTTCAATTGGTCGAAGAATCTGAAGAAAAATTCAATATTGTTAGAAGTTTTTTTTTTTTTTTATGAAGCATGGAAATACGATGCTTTGCCAAAGACCCGATTGACTTTTCTGAAGTTTGTAGTTATTGTATATGTTCCCAAAAATAGATGTTTGTCCATCCGGAAGAAAAAATCTGGATAAAAAACTTATTGTTAATTATGTTTTTTTTTTGCTTAGAATAAATGATGATTAATTCAATGAAGAGATTTATTTTAATCTCATGTATTTGATTTTAAAATGAATATAAAAATTAGTCAAACAGAGTAATACAGACTTTGAAAATATTTGAATATCGAATGTTATTTGATCTAATTTTGTATAATCATAACCTTTTACCTCCTACAGGGTCATTTATCACTTATTCATAAAAATTAGTTATTTGAAATAATAAAGTATCGAATCGAGACAATACCTGAATTTTGTGTGAAGTCTTTAATAAATTAAAAAATTTAATTGTTTTTCTTAATTCTTTGACTAACGGGAAAGGAATCTTCTGTGATAGAAGTTTTCCAAAAACCCTCGAGCGTCTAGAAAAGAAATTCGATAGCTTAGTCAAATCTTAATAGGAGTCTAGTTTTTGTTAGAACACTATGTAGTATCTATAGGCAAAAATATCATTGAAATTAGAAGGTGATATACTGAGGAGATTCTATCGTAAGTTTTGTGAGTTAAAAAAAACACATCGATAATAGGAATTTAGAATCATGGATTCCATATTATAAAAATAAAGCTAATATCAACGATATCGATATAATTCTGGAAATAAAAAAAAAACTGATTTCAATCCGAAAATAACCACGTTTGCAAGACCTTAACGGTATATCATATCCCGAAATGATTCAACGATATAGTGTCTACTGCAGTATTGATACAACAACTCTATCAAAATATGACCTTTTTATAGCAGTATCTTCCAATTCCTTTGTGAACACTGACGTTAGTATGTACTAATTATACTAAATATGAAAGTGTTGGTCCTAGTCTCGGGATCATGTTGCCTATATCTAATTCCCACAGTTGACTAAGCGCTCACTCCAATGCAATAGTATGTCACCCGGGGAGGTAAATATTTAATCAACTAGTCTAAGATTTTTTTTTTCCATATGAATAAGTTGAGTATTAAAACTTTAATTCGAGTCATAATATTTTCCTTTTGACGAGTATGTAAATAGTTTTGTTGATTATTTAAATATGATTTTCATGAATAATTTTTATTTACTTTTCGAACTGATTTCGGATGTTCATTATTACCATTCCCCGATTGTAGTAAAGAATCAGGTGATTTTAATGATGGTGACAATGGACGATCTTGTTCTTCAGCAGATGAATTTATTCCATTTTTACCCATACTATTCATTGATGAACGAAAAATTTTTTTAATTATTGTAGTAGATGCATCCGAGAATGGAGTTGGTGATGATGATTTTCCTTTTGAAAATACGGATTGTCTGACAGGTGTTGTTTGAGTAGTAGTTGTTTCATTTTGTTGTTTGAAATATGTTGTAAAAACTTGTAAGAAAAACAAATTAATAATTAAAAATTGATTTCAATTAGATAATCTTAATTTTTACTTGATGACATCGAAGAAGGGGATGGTGAAGGTGAAATATTTGTTTGAATAATTGGTGTTATTGGTATGGATGGTCTTTTTTTATAAATCTGTGGTTGAGATACTTCAGGAGTTTTGGGATTTTCGAATTTTTTTCGAATTCCAGCAAAATCAAGTTTATCCAAGGGTGTTTCATGTGCTGTTTCATCACTTGATGACCTAAGTTATTTATATAAATAAATAAATAAATAAGATAATCGAATATAAAAATCATACTCATGTTGTTGATCTAGATCAGAACTAAGTGAATGAGACCGAGGTTTTCTATATTTTGATGGTAGTGGAGGTGGTATACGTCCAGATTTGCTAAATTTATGTTGGAGCGTATCTTGCTCCGGTGTAGACATCAAAAAAACAAAAGAAAACAACAGGTAATAATCATGAGAAAAGTAATATGTTGAAGTCGTAGAAAGTTTCTATTTGTTTTCTTTTCAATGAATCATTGATATGAGTATGACTTCAATGAATCATTTCATATGACAAATAGTTCATAGTAAGCATTAGACGACATTATTTAATATGTACTTAATAACTTAAATTTCGAAAATGAAATAAGAAAACTTTATTACTAGTATCATTTTTATATACTCGTCAAAGAACATAAATCGAGACATTTTTTCAGTATTTATTTTTTAGGATATATCCGATATAATGTTATCAAATTAAAGCGACTATTATACAGACATCTATTGAATGCATGAAAGTTTTCATTGATTGATGAAAATTTCTATTCGAAAACATATTTCTTCTCAAAAGACACCACAGATAGAAGAAGAATACCATTTATGTTGTGGTATGGGGTGTTGCCTAATGGTAGATGCAATAATCTGATATCTTTTGTAGAATTAATATTAACTGTTGTTCTGAATAGAAAGCCAACCTAATGTACAGTTCTTACGTTCAATTGTCTACTCAGCATATTATCACATGGATGATCTGAGAATAGAACCCATCGGGTGAGGTTCAGATCCAAAAATTTTAGACTCAACGGATATTTTGTTTTAATGGCTGGTGATACTGACGAGGGAACCGTTTCAAGTGATTCACGCCGATTTTGCTTATATTTTGCCCATATGTAGGGGTCAGTATGCTAAGAAAAAGCCTAAGAGGATTTAGGCCCATGTTGCTTCTTTCGAGGGTTATGGCCATTTTACTGATTTTTCGGCCTATGACAAGGTATTCACAAAAAATTCAAATGACGAAATTATGTCTTGAAATTTTGCCCATATGTAGGTCTCATGGTCCTTAATGTATGCTACAAGTTTCACCAAGAATAAATGTTCCATTTTCGAGACAATGATTGTCCAAAAAAACTCGATTTTTCTTAGTCCTCTATAAAATGCAAATATTTATTGCAAATTTATTATCTCGAAAATGGAGCATTTATTTTTGCTGAAACTTTTAGCATACATTTAGGACCATGAGACCTACATATGGGCAAAATTTCAAGACATAATTTCGTCATTTGAATTTTTTGTAAATACCTTGTCATAGGCCGAAAAATCAGTAAAATGGCCATAACCTTCGAAAGAAGCAACATGGGCCCAAATCCTCTTAGGCTTTTTCTTAGCATACTGATCCCTACATATGGGCAAAATATAAGCAAAATCGGCGTGAATCACTTGGAACGGTTCCCTCGTGAGGATTGAACATAAAACTTTATGGATACGTTTCGAACAATGTAGTCAGCTTGATGCGTTATCTTCCACAAAAAAATCTCAAAGCTATTCATTTGTACTATCCATATTCAATGAAATTTGAATATTTTAGAAGCTCAGATAAGAAATAGACACATCTCATGATCATTAGATTATTTATAAAATCAGCCAAATAAATGACTTATTTTGATTTCGAGTTTAACTTATCGAAACTCATCATTTTTTTCTGCCATCTTTGTCATATGTAATCGAACATTTAACATCAACAAATAAAATCATATGTATTCCTCTAAGAGAGTTAAGATCCTTTAACAAACCATAAAACTGAATGTCGAAATAAATAGGAAATCATCTCATCATTCAAATCTTTCTTTTAGGTCGTACGAAACTACAAAAAAAATTTAAATGTAAGTTTTAATTTGGTAACTTTCAAATATCCTTATAGAAAAACTAGATTAATAAGGATTGTAGAATCTATAGATTTGTAAGATTTAAATTCTACTGCATTCTTTCTTCTAATTGAAATGATTACAAAATAAAATAAACCGATAGGAAGAAAACAAGCATAACAAACAACGAAGAAAAAATCTACTCGTAATCATATAAACCTTGAATGACCTCATAGAAATAATGACCTGCAACTCTACCAAGTACTTGACTATTTCACCAATACCTTGCTAAAGATAAAAAATCCAATGAAACTGTAATAACTTGGAAAGAATAGTGCATAGAGACAATCTATCATAAGCTCCGACTAATCACATCGGAGTCTACTCATGGACAAAAATATCAGTTCAAATTTGTAACTCACACTTAGAGACGTTCTCTCATAAGCAATACATTTGAAGTTATTATGAACAAGTGTCTTGCTATGAAATGCTTAACATGATTTTTGAACATGTTCTTGCTCTGTACGACTCGATGTTTTTTCTCTTATTCGCATGTTACTTTTACGATACTAAAAGAGCTTACGTTATTTCTATTTTCTGTGAAGTAAACCTCGACGAAAAAGAAAAAAAGGAGAGAGAGAGAGAGAGAAAAAGAAGAGCTGTATTCACTCTATATTTCGTTTTTAACATATACCAAAAAAAAAATGAAACAAGAAAATTTACACTAATTATTTTTTTTTTTTTTGTTGTTGTTATTTCTTTATAAACAATAATATTTTCAATGAAAAATTGAAAATGAATTTTGTTTATCTGTTGATACTTGTTGTTGTGTTTGTTCACGTGTTTGAATTTGTCGTAAACATTCTTCATAATCACGAATTAATTGATGATATTTATCATGTATAAATGTTGAATGATCTCGTGTTGGTTTAAATGATTGATATAAATATTTACTAACTAGATTAGTACCATTTGTTTTAGATAAAATATGTTTAAGTAATATTAAACCATAATATAATATAAATTCATGTCCTTGAGCTTGTAAAACAAAAAATTTATCTAATAATATACCAATATAATGTATTTGTTCAACAGATTGTCGAACAAAATAAACAAATTGATGTAAAAATACTTTATCAGCTGAACCATATTCAATAAGTTCATTTAAATATGGTATTAATTGTGTTGCTAACCAAAATTGTTTTTGATGATATGTTTCAATAATAAAACGAAGAAATAATTGACATGCTAAACGATTATTAATCATATATTGTACAAATTCTGTTTGTGGTAATAAAGTTTTTAATATTGATGATGATGATATATCAGTATTTAAACGATTTTCAACTATTAAACGTATAAGAAATGGTAAATAATGTGTTAATAATTTTGAATCAATTGCATCATGAAATGACATGGCACCATCAAGAACATCCCATGCATATAAACCCATATTAAGTAATTTAAGAAGAAATTGTAATTCTTTATTCGAACGTGGTAAAGGAATTTCATCATCAACCTAAATAAAATTTATTGATTTGTAGTTTTAGACACCTTGTATGAAATTTTTTTTCCAAATATTTGTGAAATAAAAACAAAAACTTGACATACATATGTTCTTGAACCAATAGTGGGTCGATAGCTTTCAGAGCTGAACATAGGATAGATCGGTCCTAGTGTCCTATCCTGGACTACTGTGGTATTAGCGACTAAATCGATTGTAGCAAGATATTTTTAACTTCTAGCAGATAAAAGTGAATTATGTTATGCTCTAGATAGATAAACTGTTGTTCGAGATGAAGAAAGTTTCGATGTACTTGTATTTTATTCTTTGCATTTTGAATACGAAGCATTTACTATATAAAAGGTGACTATAGAACAGTATATATTTACCCTTGTAGCGAAAGACTGTATCTATCTCGTGGTTTATGCATGATCAGGTTCTATATCGATAGGTGGCGCTACCATCGGCGCGACGTCGAAGGTGGCGCTTCCAATTAGCACGTGAACAGTGCGCAGTAGCATCCGGTAATATATACGCCATTAGACAGAGGAAGTCTTTCTCTACAAATGTACATACATCCTGTTCTGTAGTTAAAATATTATAATGGTTTTTGACTATTTAGATTTTTGACTTATTTCGTATATTTTCATCGTGTTCATTCTTTGAATCATAGAATGTTTATTTTGATGAAAGCAAAAAAAAAAAAACAAATAATTTGAATCATATCTTACCTGTTTATGTAATAATAAAATACATGATTTAGCTAATATTGAAACAATATTTGGGTCAGTAAGTACAAATGGTATATGTTTATTAATAATATCTGTATCACGTGCATGTGCATCTAGAAATTGTTCAATTTCTCTTTGTTTTTTTAAATCTAATTTTCTTTCTTTTAATGCAGCATCAAGTGTCCAAACAAATATATGTATAGAATCTGATTTAGATACACTATTATTTTCTAAATCATGAAATGCCATTAATAATAATAAACGTAATGATGAATAATGAACTATTTTTGTACGTTGAAATAATTTTTGTAAACTTGTTCGTACAATATCATATAATTTAATATTTGTTCCAATCATATGAACAAGTGATTGTATTGTTGGTGATGTTTGTCGACGTTGTTTAGGTAATTGAAGAAAATAATTATGATCACATTGTAATAATTGTTCTTCAACATTTACTAAATATTGTGATATAATTGGTTGAAGTTCTTTTTGAAATAATGTATGATTATCTGTCCATATTAAACGTTTTAATTCAATTGGTGCACGAGAATAAATTTGTTCATGTTCAACTATATATTTGACATATCTATATGAAGAAAGAAAAATATATCTACATCATGAAAAATGTTTTTATTTTATGTTTAAATCTTTATTTAGTCTGATGATATTTATCAATCGAAACGTAATCAATACCGAACACTGTTCTATCACGTACGATCTCCTGATTACACCGCTATTTGTTACAAAATGTAGTCGAAATTTTTCGTTTGTAAATTTTGTTTAAGAAAATGTTTGTATACACCTGAGGATGTAGGTTCATTCACTCATATTCCCATCCGTAATTGAACACTATGCTATCGTGCTGAGCACAAGTTCCTTCTGTTCAACACTACGGAATGTAGTAACTAATTAAAGAAATAGGGGGTGATTCGGAAATCACGTTATCACTTTTTTGCCCATTTTGGACCCCCCTCCTCNGCAAATTTGTGATTATTATATTCAGCTTTATTTTACATGAGATTAAATCTTAATTCATCAAATTCATCGAGTATCCATTGTTTC